TTAGTATGTTCTTCTAACACGTTAGAATGCGTGTTAGTATGTTCTTCTAACACGTTAGAATGCGTGTTAGTATGTTCTTCTAACACGTTAGAATGCGTGTTAGTATGTTCTTCTAACACGTTAGAATGCGTGTTAGTATGTTCTTCTAACACGTTAGAATGCGTGTTAGTATGTTATTCTAACACGTTAGAATGTATGTTAGTATGTTATTCTAACATAATCTGAACCAGTAACAGTTCTGTGCTGATTGGTTCACCTGTGATCTGAACCAACAACGTGAACCAATCAGCACAGAACTCTGTGATCTGAACCAACAACGTGAACCAATCAGCACAGAACTCTGTGATCTGAACCAAAAACGTGAACCAATCAGCACAGAACTCTGTGATCTGAACCACAACGTGAACCAATCAGCACAGAACTCTGTGATCTGAACCAGTAACGTGAACCAATCAGCACAGAACTCTGTGATCTGAACCAACAACGTGAACCAATCAGCACAGAACTCTGTGATCTGAACCAACAATCACACGATCCGATAAGACAACTAATCTAAAATATTGTTCTGATAACATGACTGCTATAGCCGATAGTTAGCTAACTTTTGTTTTAAAGATTTATGAAAATTTTCCATGTACTTAATTATTGATTTTCGAATACTTTGTCTCAGTTGTTGTTATAAATATTTGTTGTTAACATCTTTTCCATGTAGCCACTTACCCACAGTACTTACTAAAGTGTACTTACCCATAAATTGTGCCGTACTTAAGGAAATTTTCGTGATTTACTATGTGCATAGGCTAAAAGAAGAAAGAAAATGAACTTATACTTCAATAGTAAACACACATATTATCAGGTGTTTATTTACTTAGTAAATATTTATTCTTTACAAATAAAGAACAATTACAAGAAATAAAACATCATTGGACTGTTTTCTTTAACATCCAAATTTCTACTTAAAATAGCTTAAACATTTAATTTTATTATTATTATTATTTTTTTTTTTATCATATTACATGTCAATATAAAATAGTTTTAACATCCACTGCCAGGCGGAGATAAAAGGCTTTATCGTTTCCTAACCAGTTTCTTTCAATAAAATAAGTTATTCTAAATTTTTTTTTATATGCCTTAGAATTAAGCAATGTAGAATCAGATACATTTCTGAATTTAAATAATTTCATACGAAATTAGAAAAAGCATTTTCTTTTTTTTAAAAAAAGTAAGTTTCGGAAATCAAAGTGTGTTTTTATGGGAGTTATTTATACTTCAAAGTGTGTTTTTATGGGAGTTATTTATACTTTAGGCTATATATTATACATAAACTTACACCACGAAAATCGTCCTAGAAATTTACTTCTTATTAATTTCTTGTTTCAAAAATAGTTCAAATTTCATGCCATTTTCAAAAATCAGTTCTTTGTTTAAAATATAATTCATCATATTTATGATGATTTTCTTATTATATTATGTATATCGCATGAGATGTCTTGTTCTTAAGCCTTGAATAAAAAACATATGTTACACAAATTTTAATCAATCGTACTTAGTTGCTCATGAAGACAGAAAAAACAAATACGATCGTTCGTTTTAGAAAAGAGAAAATGTATTCTGAAATAATACGTTATTTTATAAACAAAAAAACCTGTAGTTTACAAATTTCGCCAGAATCAGTTTAGAATGTCCAACTAATCTAACACGACTGATTTAATTTCACAGATCACGCCTTACAAATCAACTAAATTCAGTATTTTCGACGTAATAAATCCAAATAATAAGTAATAAAATATCTTGAACTTTGAAGTTATAACCAATAAAACTTTAGTCCAGTAAATATTTACTATATTTCTTTCTAAAATGACACTGGTTTAATGAAACATTTAATGTAATTCGTTCTTCAATTTGTAAAATGACTTTTGTTTACTGGAACAAATAAAGTTAACCTCCGTATGAGGTGTATTGAAGAACAAATAAAGTTAACCTCCGTACGAGGTGTATTGAAGAACAAATAAAGTTAACCTCCGTACGAGGTGTATTGAAAAACAACTAAAAGAATGAATGTTCTTACCTTAAAAAAATATGGGAAGTAGGTGCCCACAACTGGCCATGGTGTTGGGCCTTTGAGGCCTAAAGAGGCCCAGTGTCTGTACTTCTTGGAGTAATAGCTGCGAGAAAACACACACGATTGTTACACTCTACATTAAACATAGTAGCCAAGTGTTTATTATAGTTTGTTACTGTAAGAGCAATGTTGCTCACACGTTCGCGTTTATTTTAATGACTTTCGAATATGATTTGCCAACAACCAGTGCTGTTCATAAAGACATTACTTGTTTATGTTCATGCGACATCAATAAACGGGGTTCGAGTCCCGCTTTTATTATTACAGGAAAAGCCTGTGAGAACAGTGTGCTGTTCTTAAATATAATTTGACATTAAATTCCAATGAGCGGAATCCTAGCTCTGCTATGATCGTGTCTCTATCTATCAATGAAATGAAACTTCTGCTTTTCGAATCTTGGTAGTTTAGATGACAAGATAATAAGCCACTCTCAAACATTCCGAAAAGGTTTCAGTTTCTTTATTTCTCCACAGAAATTTTAACGTTTATATGTAAACTTCTGGAGACACCGAACATTTACAAGTGTATTACATAAATCAGGGTACTTAACGTGTGTTATATCAGCTTCCACGTGAATTAATTGTTTGCTACACAAACCCGAACGGTTACACGCGTGTTATATCAGCTTCCACGTGAATTAATTGTTTGCCACACAAACCCGAACGGTTACACGTGTGTTATATCAGCTTACACGTGAATTAATTGTTTGCTACACAAACACGAACGGTTACACGTGTGTTATATCAGCTTCCACGTGAATTAATTGTTTGCTACACAAACACGAACGGTTACACGTGTGTTATATCAGCTTCCACGTGAATTAATTGTTTGCTAAACAAACCCGAACGGTTACACGTGTGTTATATCAGCTTCCACCTGAGGTTTTCAGTGGAAATCTTCAGTTTCTACGAATATTGGATGTTTCCATTATATCGGATATGTTATTAAACATTTTAAAACCTGACTACAGAAGTTGGTGCTTATTAAAACCTGACTACAGAAGTTCCGCATCGGATCCGGTTTTTGTTTTGTTTTTTGGCACCAAGGGGTAAATAATATCATGGTAATGGAATAATGTTGGCACCAAGGGTAAAATACTATCATTGTAAGTGGATAGTGTTGGCACCAAGGGTAAAATACTATCATTGTAAGTGGATAGTGTTGGCACCAAGGGTAAAATACTATCATTGTAAGTGGATAGTGTTGGCACCAAGGGTAAAATACTATCATTGTAAGTGGATAGTGTTGGCACCAAGGGTAAAATACTACCATGGAAATGGGATAATGTTGGCACCAAGGGTAAAATACTATCATTGTAAGTGGATAATGTTGGCACCAAGGGTAAAATACTATCATTGTAAGTGGATAATGTTGACACCAAGGGTAAAATACTATCATTGTAAGTGGATAATGTTGGCACCAAGGGTAGAATACTATCATTGTAAGTGGATAATGTTGGCACCAAGGGTACAATACTATCATTGTAAGTGGATAATGTTGGCACCAAGGGTAAAATACTATCATTGTAAGTGGATAATGTTGGCACCAAGGGTAAAA